AGCTGAGTTGGGATGGCCAAATCTCTACTTCAGGAATTTTTCTTTTTATGACATGTCCTTTCAAGACGTAGGCAATCATGGCTCTCCTCCTCCCTCTATCCCTTGCAACTCTTCACAAGTTCCTCCCTTCTGCTTCCTGTCCCAGACTATGTTCTCTCATCTACTGGCTTAAGCCTGCCAAGTATGTCATGCATTATTTTCCTTTGTTTCTCTTTCCCTCTATTCAACCCGTGGGTATCAGATTCTCCAAACTTTCCTTCCTCATTATGTGTCCCAGAAACTTCACCTGCCACTTCCTGATATTAAATATAAGTCTCCTCCTTGTTTGCAACCTCTCTAAGACTTCATCGTTGCTCACACGCTTGGTCCATGATATCCTTAGCATCCTTCTGTAGATACTTCTCTGTCCCCTTAAGTCTTTTCTTCGTCTTAACAGAATTAAGAAGAAAAGGAAAGGACAGATGTTACGTAACAGCTCAGTATTCTTTCTTACCAAAGAAATCATCCTGTCTTGCAGTACTCTGCCCAGCTTTTGGCATGTGTCCTTGGCCATCCCAATACCTCTACAGATCTTAGTGTCACATTTACCGTATTCTGTCAAGACACTTCCCAGATATTTAAACTTCTGTGTCTGCTTAATTCAAGTGTTCTCGACCTTCAAATCACATTTCAGGCTCACCATCTTACTGATGACCATGCATTCTGTCTTTTCGTAGTTTGTGCTTAGTCTCTTCCTCTCACTCTCTGTCACTACCTTCTCTAGGAGGTTTTCTAATTTCTTTTCCATGTCTGCTATCAGTACTGTGTCATCTACATATCTTATGTTGTTAAGATTGTACCACCAATATTAAATCCTGGTTGGGTTTTCAACCCTCTCAGAATTGCCTTGATGTATAGGTTGAACAGTTCAGGTGAGAAGATGCATCCTTGCCTTACTCCCCTTTCTATTTTTGTATATTTACTGAACTCGTTTTCTATGCGCATGCATGTTCTTTGCTGCCAGTAAAGGTTCTTGATTCTTCTGATCTCTTTCCTGAATATATCAAAGTTGCTGAGCAGTTCCACCAGACTCTTGTGGCATATTTTTCGAAGGCCTTTGTGTAGTCTATGAAACATAGGTACACGTCCTTCTGCATCTCCATCACTCTTTCTGATAATAGTGCTGCTAAAACACATTCAACAATGTTGTTGGTAAATGGAAAGAGTTCAGTCATCAGTGGACTTGCGAAACTAGCATTCCCCAGTGGAAATGCTATTACTGCATGGTTCACACCTTGAAGCCAAGAGGAGAAAAAAAAAAAACTCTCTCCTTTCTCGAAGTGGGGAAATTGTATATGTCACCAGAAACTCTTTCTGATTTCCTTATAACTTTCATCATGGGAAAATTAATTTATTTTATTCACTGGTTTTATTTCATTTTCTCCACAAGAATACCATTTAACAGCCATGAAGGCAGACCAGATGATGATGTGTAATTCCCTTACATGTGTTACCACCACTTTCATATCTATGACAAATGATAATTCTTTTTGCTCTTGTTCAGTAAAGAAATCCACACTACTCTGTCTTAAATATTTAGAAATACAAGGAAAATCATGATTCAAAGTCCTGGCTTTTACCTATGCTTGAACACTAAACTGTAGCACTAATGGGGAAACTAAGTAATTATTTTAGCCATCCTCTATTATAATCTTAACAGTACAACCAACAAAAACTAATTAGTTTTTCTAATATTTCTTTACATACACACAAGAAGTTTTTGATAAATTATTTGTAAGTTCTTTTTATTTTCCTCTTCCTTTGTATATATCTTGATATAATGCGGAAATGTTTTCAGAAGCATAAGCAAAGATGGGATTTTTTTGTCAAGAGTATATTATTGCATTTGTTAGCATACTAAGCAGTTATAACTAAATGATCTGACCTTTCAGCAATCCAAAATGTTCAGTAATACACATAGTCAACTGACAGGAGAAACAACCCTAAAATTTTATGACACAATTAGTTTATGAACCGTTTACATGCCAGGAAGTTATAAGTGACAGAATGGGTGTTGAGTAGCACCACCTGGAACATGAAGTTTACAAGTGTATATGCATGTACATATATATGTACGCACACACACACACAAACATATATATATATATATATATATATATATATATATATATATATATATAAAATATGAATTGCAAGTTGGTTCCAATATAGAAACAATTTCCCTGATATAAAAAGGGGATATAGGTTCAATTCCTATTGAAAGCACAATCTTTTTTTACTAGGACTTCTCAATCTAGGCCTGTTTAACTCTTTAAAAAACTAAAATAATTGGATAGCACACAATTACATGTACTACTAAAAAATATATAGTAATAATATATATATATATATATATATATATATATATATATCTGAAAGAGAGAGAAATTATTACAAAATTGTGTATTCTTAAATATATGTAAATATATAGTGTTCTTATTTTTTTTTTCTTTTCTGGGCATAAATTATATAGAAATTGTTTGAATGGGCCATTATCAAAGATGATTTTTTTTTTTACTTTTAACTGGATTTATGCAAAAAAATTTTTTAAAGAAATCCTTACATTCAGTTAAAAGTCAAAAATAAAATCATCCTTGATAATAGCTAAAAGAATAGTTGAAAGTGATTGGACATACAGAACATTCATGTAATTTATGTCCCAAAAGAGAAACATACATATATAATATATATATATATATATATATATATATATATATGAACATAGAAGTCAACACTTAGAGGTGACAGTCTGTTTCATGCTAGATGCAATCGTCAGGCCATATATACTGTGGCTCTGACAATTGCATCTAGCATGAAAACACACTATCACCTCTCAGTGTTGACTTCTATGTTCATTTTTATATTTACACACGCTCTATCTCTGATATTGAGCACTTTATTCCATAAATATAGCACACCTTAAGACTATATTTCTTCATATATATATATATATATATATAGTCATCCACAGACAGACTGTTTTGCTGTATCAGAGCTCCCCAGTGTGGCTAGACGTTTGATTGCTTCAAGCCAGGATATTTGCATATTTAAATTATATTCATGTGTTTCTATGTATTCATATATGCATGTATTATTTCATATATACTATATATACACAAATATATCTTTAATCCCATAGAATCCATGGATGAGTAGTGAGGACAGCAAAGCGCTCAGTCATACTAGGCATTGCTGCTGTGGTTTCGATAGCAAGTAAGATTTTATGGGATGAAGTTGCTAGTCCCCTCTCCAACCAGTTTTGTACCTGGTATTCATACATAAAAAAGCATTTATTTCATTAAAAAATAGGAAACTTGAACATAGTTTCCTCCTTTGTCAATGTACTTAATTCTGTAATTAATCATATAGATTGAGCATTATACAGTGAAAGTTAGCCGCTATATTAATTTAATCTCATATACACTATAGCAATGATAATGGTTAGCAAGCTTGTCTTGCTAAATCAGTTATGACTGAGTAATGCATTCGATCCTCACTGTGTGCTCTATTATTTTGACCTTGTGCCACATCTAAGCTATGTTGAGTAAATCACACTGTCTTCTATATATGACAATAAAGTCACTATACAGTTAATTACAATAACAATTAAGACAAAGCAATTAATCAACAGTCCAGGAATTTATTATTAAAATGGTTCTGTTTAATAACAATAAAATGCTATGGTAAATAATAGTAAATTAATTACCGATACTGCAAGCCACCTGCTTCAGTGTTTTGCTTTTTATTATAAGAAACTATATAGTGACTTTATTGCTGTCCTATATCTCAATATATAAGAAAGAATGCATTATCTGTACATACATATATACATATGTATGTGTAAATTTATATGAATATGTAGATTCTATGAGTGCTTGTATATAGCTAGATGTGTGTATGAATGGTGTCTACATCTGTGATGAATGAGCATACACTAACTATATGCAGCATTTTTAGAGGTACTGAGAAATATTTGTCTGTTTACAACTCCTCCTGCTTGCTTGTGCCACAAGACTGATGTGACATGAAAAATGTAGCAGAAATTCTTTGGTTGTCAAGATATTAGCAATATATTAAGTGAAACATGACTTCTCTTTCAGTTCCTTTATCATAAGGCCAGCATTAAAGGTGCTCTTGTTTATCTATAAAAACTAAGAAAGAGTTAAGTATTGTTTCTTTTAGTCTTGTTAATAGTGAATAAACGTGTAATATTTGAGTGTCAGCCTTAATTCAGTACACAAAGTTAAGTGAATATGTGTCAGAATTATTCTTACTTAGGTTTATTATAGTCCAACATAGAAGAAGGAAAACTAACATATAGACATGCACAGAAGTAGATATTGTGACTTATCTCTATATAAAATGCCATGGACATCTTAGTACAAGAAAACAGCTATAAAATCTTTATCTCACATTTGTATTTTTTATGTTAATATTCAACTTGTACAAGGCCCAAGACAACACTCATTTAGGTGAGCAGTCAAGTAAAAGATGCAATTTATGAGGATATGTGTGAATGATAAGTTAACTCTAGATGTCGATAAAGCATCCTCTTGGGAGTCAGTTCCACAAAGTAACTGTTCGTAGAAAGAAGCTGTTCAAGTGAAACTTCCTTCTTAGTAATGGAATATGAAGGAAATGAAAGTAGCGTATGTGGTATGGTGGGTTGTAGCTGTAAGGTTTAAATTGATTGATTCATTTTTTATGGCTTATCAACACTTTAATTGGTTATTTAAAGCCAAAAAATATTTTTACATTATAAAAATTTTTTTGAGATAATGATGATTTAGTGATACAAGTCTTACTAATTAACCCATAGATGGGGAAGAAAAGGTGGTTTCATGCCTTTCCTAAAGGCATTTACGCATAAGTGAATATAATGAACCCGAATTAAATTAAAATGCAACACTCCAATTGACAATTTCAAATCATTATCCATTAAAACGCCTGCACAGCCACACTTACAGCACCTGATATTCTGAAGCAGTTGCCCATCTAGGTACTGACTAAGCTTGACATTGCTTAACTTCAGTGATCATATGGAAACTGGTGTTTCAATGTGGTATGACCATAAGTGTTGTAGAGTAGTTTTCACAGTGGAGGCTTGTATTTCACTAAGTCAGTCCTAGAATATGTTCGACGTACAAAACATTAGGAACTTGAAATAATAGTTAATGACGCAGCAATCTAGTTGTGATGGTTGATAATTTAATGTCCAACATCGACTGACTCACTCAACTCCACTGAGCCCACTGGCGACTGCTACTACTACTACTTATTATCTGTGGGAGAGTCTATTAACAATAGAATAGGTATGTTCCAGTATAACAATAAGCCTGTTAGGTTTAGAGTTGGTGGAACTAAGGAATGTAGCTTGGGAGAAAATGAAATAAAACCAATAAATAAAATATTAATAAAGAATAAAAATAATAAGTAAATTCATTTTTCATTGATGGAAATTAGAAAGAAATTGGAAAGCATTTCTAGTTACATGTGCTATTTTATAACCCTACTTCTGGAAAGGACAGCAGTCCTACTCATAAAGTAGAGATTCAGTCATTTCAACTCAATGGGAGGCTGACTTGAGCTCATCCATCTTTACCTCTTCTTATTCTTACTTCCCATAAATTATTTCTGAACCAAAAGGAGAAAAGGTCATTTAACTTTATTTCAATGCAGTCAACATAAAAGGAATAAATGTCCCTGGAAGAAACAATATTTTTTGTGGGCTTCTTCTATCTTCTTTGTCTATATATTGAACATGCACTTTTACTTACGAACAATATTGAGTAAAAATGTATGACAAAGTATAAAAATTTTTCTTCTGACATATTTTGCCCTTTATGACTTCACACCAATGAAATCCAAAAGGATCAAATGCATCACAAGGAAACTTTTTCCACTTTTTCATATATTTTTATATATATATATATATATGTAAAGGAAGGAAATAAGAAATGTGCAATATATACACACATATACATATATATATATATATATATATATATATATATATATATATATATATATATATTGCACATTTCTTATTTCCTTCCTTACACATTTAATAACGCATTTAGTAATTGTCTACTTTGCATGGTTCTTGGGCCTTGTATTGAGTGAACAATAGTATTAAAATTTTCAAGGGTTTTCTTCATCTGTGAGGAGATTGTTCAGCATTCACCACCATATAGGAGGACTGATGTTGCATGACATTTCAGCTCTGTTTTTTTCTTTCTAAGAACATTCATTGGTAGAACCACATCATTATAAGTCTTTTCCTCTATAAGGAGATTGTCCAGCATTCACAGACATTTAGGAAGACCTATATTATAAAACTGTTAAATAGAAATAAAATGTTGCCACCAACACTTGTTTGAACCAAGATCGCCAGTGAGTAAACACGGGCAATCCCATTATTGAATTACGTGAATCACATGACCATAGAGGAAACATGTATACATATATATATGTATCATAGCATGACGTCCAACAATCACTATTCCTAGTCTATTCTCTATACTATATGGATCTGCATTTGTAGTCTATCCTCTATTACTATATGGATTGCTATTCTCTACTCTATTTACTATATCTCTGTTTAGATCACTATATGGTGCTTACCTTTGAGTGAGTATTATTGAGCAAGTACCATTGGTGTGAGTGCTATTCAAAGGCATCTGATACCAGTATTATTCAATGGTATATTATTGTTGTAGCTTTGATTTCTACTACAATGAGCATCATTAAAGTGACAACAAGTATTCACTGACATCACAAAAGGGGCAACAAGTATTCGTTGACATCACAAAAAGAACAGTTCAGTAGTTGTTAGTTTGTTTTTAACAAAATTTTCTCGTTTCTTAGATTTCTCATAAGAATTCTGATCACATAAAACTTTGCTCATTTTCTGAAATTCATCCTTTGCTATCCCTCTGCAACTTTAGATTTCTGTTTCCTCCTTTATATTATGTTGCTTTTCATTGTTATATTCATTTATCTATTTCAGTATGTTCATATCTAGCCTTCTATTTACCTGTCTCAGTCCCTTCATATCTCACCGTCTCGGTCCCTTCACACCTCACCGTCTTGGTCCCTTCACACCTCTCCGTCTCAATCCTTTCACATCTCTCCGTCTCGGTCCCTTCACATCTCTCCGTCTCGGTCCCTTCACATCTCTCCGTCTCGGTCCCTTCACATCTCTCCGTCTCAGTCCCTTCAAACCTCTCCATCTCGGTCCCTTCACATCTCTCCGTCTCGGTCCATTCACACCTTTCCGTCTCGGTCCATTCACACCTTTCTGTCTCGGTCCCTTCACACCTCTCCGTCTCGGTCCCTTCACACCTCACCGTCTCGGTCCCTTCACACCTCTCCATCTCGGTCCCTTCACACCTCTCCTTCTCGGTCCCTTCATATCTATCTATTTCAGTCCCTTTATATCTTCAGTCTATCCATCTAAGTTTGTTTATACCTGTCTCACTTTGTTCATATCTGTTTGTTGAGTAATCTAAGTTATTTTATTTGTATCTAATTATATATCAGTATACTCTTTACTTCACATATATTATTTTTCCTTTTATATTTTCACTAATTTTGAACATAATCAATCTTCTTACTAAATTTAATCAAAATTAGCTCAGCCATTTTGAAATGTCAGAATGACATATTATGAAATGCACATTGTGTTAATGTTTGAAATTTATTGGCACACTTGCAACGTTGTTGCATACACAGAATGGCAGTGATGCATACCTTTTTTTGCCTGAGAACAGACATCTTGGCATTTCCAGATTTCCATAGCTGCTTTAAGTGATAAAGGCTTCCAAGTATGTAAAAACTTCCACACATTCAGGCCTTTCACTGTCTAGACATTCAAACACACTACATTAGCAGATATATGTTAAATGAGAAAGAAACACACAGATCTGAATGTGCAAACAAGCGTGAACATTAAAATAACAAATATGCCTGTCTGCCTGTGAGATCTGGTTTTCAGGCATTTTCCATGCTGAGATTTGCCTCCCTGCCAGGCTGATATTATCAAGAAGTCATAGTCCTGACAAATTGACCATGGTCAGTTTGAGAACCATGTCATAAACTAATGTCTTTAAGACAACAAATTCAAATGATTTTATCTAATAACTTAAGGTTTTAGAAAAATATGAAGTATGAAAATATTGTAGCATACCTACGGATGATAATGAGTATGTCCCCATTCACAAAAATACAGTAGTAAATACTGTATGTTGGTCTGCAGTTGGAGATTCATTGTAGAATTCACTTGATTCACTTCTAGCAGTTGACTACTACTTCTACGTACCGCTATCAAATCTTATGTGTTGTTCTTCTACTAAGTATTATCGTCCATTACCAACCTTCGTTTGATTATTCTTTTCAGTAACCTTCCCTCAGTTACAAGAGAAAATGAATAAAAATAATTTTGTCATCTGATGAGTGGATTTCAGATTCCCCAAAACTGAGTAGAAATAAGTAAACATTTTATTTATTTTATATATATATATATATATATATATATATATATATATATATATATATATATATATATAATTATTTTTAAAAAAAATTTTCGCTACATAAGAGTTCTGATGTTTCAAAAGTGAGCCAAAAAGTCAAATATAATTATTAAAATTAAATTGAATTAAAGTATCAAGCCCTGTTTCATCCTCAAGCAAAATTTTTGGAATAACTAATCTTGATATTTACACAGATTTATAAGCATATTCATTCGTAAAATTAATAACTATGGAAATGGCTAAAGCAATTATTTCATTAAGGGGTGTAACGGTTAACAATTTGTATCAACTTTTTGTGTCAACTAAGATGTTGATACAAATTGTTAACCCTTACATCCTTACTGAAAATAATTGCTTCAGCCGTTTCCATAGTTATTAATTTTACGAATGAATATGCTTATAAAGCTGTGTAAATATCAAGATTGGTTATTCCAAAAATTTCGCTTGAAGATGAAACAGAGTTTGATACTTTAATTCAATTTAATTTTAATAATTATATTGAAGCTTCTGGCTCCTGTTTTTGAAACATCAGAACTCTTATGTAGCGAAGGAATCATATTTTTTTTAAAATAATTATAATTTAGGCTCTACTTTTGTATTGAGCACAGTTTTTTAAAAATAAAAACTAAAATACTAACGAACTTCGCATTATATAACTAACCTGTTATTTCCTATTTTTCTATATATTTGCACACACACACACACACGTGGGTGTGTGTATATATATATATATATATATATATAAATAAAATATCACACACTGAGTGCTGGTGCTAATAAAATAATGCCCAATGTATAACAAGCTAAAATTCATATTAATAATAAATATGCATTTTTTTGCTCACCAATGAGGAAAAATAGTGTATTTTTACTATCTATCTCTCTCTCTCTTTCTATGTATATATATATATATATATATATATATATATATATATATATATATATATATATATGAAATGAAAAATAATAAAATAAAATATAGTCTTTTAAGGTATAATATATTTCCAGGGTAAAAAGTATTCAATATCCAGGATAGTGTGTGTGTGTAAATATAAGAAGTGTGAACACTGATGTCAATAAAGATACACACAAAAGTGGAGCACTAAATCTGGAGACTGATACAGTTATTAACTGAATTTTGATCTGAAATGTTTACCATATAATGTGGCTGTAAAAAACCCATTGTGATAAATGTACTGGCGAGGAAAGGCTTTGCTGAAAAACTGTTTTCTATGTAAAATAAATTATGATTAGGCTATGGACTTATTGATTTACTCATATACATATATATAATTTCCTATCAAAGATATGATATAAAATATGTATCAGATTATAGTGGGTAAAAAAAGATGGAAAAACTTGTGACACTTTTCATTCAGATAAGTAACGTTTTTATTGATGGAATCAGTCTTATATAAAAATATGTTGGAAGAAATGTTACTTTTTTAAAAAAAATTATTTCACCCCAAGAGAGGCAATAAAGCCACTAAGATGCAAGGAGTTAATCTAAGAATAAACATTATAAAGGAGACAGGCCAA